ATTTGCGACATCTTCCTGGGCTGTCAGGCGCCGCATTTGCGAGCTATTCTTTGAATTTGCGATGGTTCGCAATTGTGAACCCAGGATCGCAATTGCGACTTCTGCACCTGAACATAAGTGCTGAAAAGACGAGACTTGATATCATTTTCATATTTTAGAAACCTAGACTAGGTAGGAGGTAATTTTGATGAGGGGTTTTTACCTACAACTATTGAGTAAGTGATTTTGATCAATTTTTAATTATATTACATGATTATTTATGATATTTAACCTCTAATCCATGGAATTTGAAGAGAAATTTTGCCTATATTTTAAAAAATAAAAATTTTAGATGTGAGAGTCGAATTAGACTCGGATGTGAAAATAAATTACATATATGGACTCATGGGGTTATGGGTAGTCGAGATCTACCCTTGAACTCGGGTTTTGACCGGGCGGGCACTGGGTTGACTTTTGTTGACTTTTGAAAAATTGTGTAAAGATCCTAGCTTTATTAATCGAAATTAGTTTTTCTTGTATTGTTTGATGATACTAAGTCATTTTTGGTTAGATTTGAGCCGTGTGGAATTGAATTTTAAGGGAAAAGCCATTTTGAATGTTGATTTGACCTAGTTGAGGTAAGTATCTTGCCTAACTTTGTGTGGAAGAACTACCGCTTAGATTGGGTTGATTGTACTATTTAAATTATGTGAAAAACTTGCACATGAGGTGATGAGTATGTATACGGGCTTATATATAAAAATAGACCGGTTTGATTCTTTTTTATTTTTTATTTTTTATTTTTTATTTTTTACTTTTTTTTAAACCCCTGCCAAATTAGGAGGATCTATAGTATTTTCACACTTTTCCTCCAGCGTGACTCGAACCCAGGACCTAACGGTCGTGGGTGAAGATGCTTTTACCAACTCAGCAAGCCTCACTTGTCGACCGGTTTGACTTATAAGCATTTTATTGAAGTTATTATTATTTGTTCTATCTTTCGTTGTCAAGTTTATTTTTACATGCTTTAATTGGAGTTGCCATCGCTTGTTCTATTTTCAATCATCGAGGTTACTCTTATATGTATTTTACTAGTTGTTATTACATGCTATATGTTCCATTGTTGAGTTATCCCCATGCATTTGGTCGTAATTGTTATTTTATGCTATTTATTTCATTGTTAAGCTTATATTATGCATTTGAATTTGAAGTTGCCATTTCATGAAAATACCCTCATTGTTGAGTTATTGAAGTTGTAGTTGAGGAGAGCTATTAACACGTTTGTGGTTGAAATTATCGGTTATTGGAATAAACTTCCTTGTTGAGTTATTTCTCGTTTATTTTGTTGTTATTGAGATTCTTGTACACATTGTGGTTGGGTCGTGGGCTATGTATTATGGTGACATTGGTATTGTTGAATTTTGGCAATATTGTGGCATATGGACACGTGTGGCATGAGTTGATTATTGTATTGTGATATTGATGTGCATGCGGCAGTATAAGGGTAGTGTATTGATGCGCATGCGGCGAGATAAGATGGGATTTATACGCGTGTTGCTAGTAAGAGAATTACTTGAAGCCACACGGTGAGATAAAGGGGCTAAAGCAAGATTGTGATTGTGAAAAATGTTTCGGGAAAAATGTTTTTTCAAAATATATGCAAGGCTCACGCGGCGATATAAGGAAGATTGTGATTGTGATTTGTGAAATGTGAATATGAGGTGTGGTACCTCGGTGTGATCTCTATTGTACATCCTATATTGGAAAGGCTTGTTGATTTGAACGTTCCTTATTTTGTTTCCTTACCTCATTCCATTCGTATTTTGATTATAATTGGTTACTTATTGTCTTTATCATATGTACACTCTTTGTTGTCATTTGTTGCTTTTATTTTCGTTGTTAGCCTTGTGTTGATTAATTGCCTTATTGTCATTTATTTCCTTTACATCCCCGTTGTTAGATTATATTAATATTTTATATAGGTGTCACGATCCAAAATCCAGCTAGTCGTGATGGAACCTAACCCAACCCGCTAGGTAAGCAAGATGATAGACAACAAAGCTCAAATAGGATAACTGGAAGCAATAAATAAAATAACTGAGCTTTCTATACAAAATTCCAAGAATTGGTAATACAAGTCATGAGCTTCTATAACTTAAAATTTACAAAGTTGGTTTCGAAATATACATAAACAGATTTACAAATCTAAAGCTATCAAAAATAAGAGGCAGCAATAACCGGAACACAAATACATCTTCAATGCCAGCTTCCGCCATACACAGCAACATCAGCTCCAGAATCTGCACGCAAGGTGCAGAAGTGTAGTATGAGTACAACCGACCTTAGGTTGAAAGCAGTGACGAGCTCAGAAAAAGGTCAGTGTCCAACATCAATAGCCAATATTAACTCATAATAATATAATGGATGCAGTAAAAGTAATAACTCAAAAGATATTATGCTCAACTCGCTCACAGTTACGAAAAAGTAGACATGTTTTCCAGGTATAACAGTCAAGTCTAGATATTACAACTGAAAATCATCTAAACATGAGTTTAACAATAGAACTGTATTTCCAATTCAAAACACAAGATAAGAATTTTCGTTTACCAATTAGCATGAGGATAGTACATCTCTATGCCTACATATCAATATACATGTCAAGTTATCAATTACCATATACCGTCTAGCATAAGAAATATATATCTCTATGCCTACATGTCAAATCATGAATGTCACAGTTCCGTCTAACAAGAGGAAAAATGCATATATATGCCTACATGCCAAGTATGCATGTCAAATGAATGATTTCATAGTGATATCCCCAGGTATTCTCACCCTCAACACACTCAAGTTGTCTGTCTCAAATGCCCACTTCATATCACAAACACACACACACTATCACTCAGCACTGTATGGGTGTCTCGCTCATAAGCCCCTCACCAAAACACGTGTATATATATCATTATACATGTGCTCATTGCTGGTATGTCAGACTCCGGAGGGGCGGGTCCTGTCCAAGCGCTAATCAAAAGCCTATAAGGCCTGCTGCGGCATGCAGTCCGGTCCACAATAATAAAGCCTACTGCGGCATGTAACCTGATCCACAATAATAATAATAATAATAATAATAATAATAATAATAATAATAATAATAATAATAATAATTATTATTATTATTATTATTATTATTATTATTATTATTATAATAATAATAATAATAATAATATAAAAAAAAACAAAAAAAACAGTCTATCTACTGTTAAATGGTATCATAGCCTAGGAACTTTCATGGTATATATGAGATAGATCTGAAGTATTCGACATAGATATGTTATTCTTATTATGAATTTAGGAGAAACTAGTATGAAAAATACTAGACTTGAAGAGGTAGATATACCTCAAAACCTTGATTTGTTGAACAAATGGACAATTCCTAAAATCCCTATTAAAATAATTTATGATTATGGATGGTTTGATAAACTTTCTTCAAAACAACTAGTTAAAACTACTGAGCAATCTTTAGCTTTAAATTCGTCTGAACAGACTATTCGTTTGTTAAACAAGCATGATGTAGATTTATATAAAAATCAGTATAATTATCTGCATGTTGGTATGGTTCAAATTACTTTTAAGTCATTAACCCTTAAAAGGTTACTAGAGACGTTTTTAGCTGCTCTCAGAGATGCTAGAAATCTGAATTTTAGACAGTCTCTGATGGGTTATATTGAATCTACTGTGGCTTACGGTCTAGTATATTTTAATACTCAACCCAATCTTCAATTATCTCTATCTGATGTTAATATACTTGATGCCTTGACATTAAATATGAAAACGCATGGTTATAATTATGCGCATATATCTGAACTTATATGTTTATCATATAGAATTTATTTTAAATTACTATCTACGTTAAACCCCAGATGTAAACTATATGATACATCCGATCAGACTATATTAGTGGAAACTAATTTTGCAAAGTCTAAGGTCACCACGAGGAGACCTATTAAGTGGGAAGAAATTAATTTTTCGACTACTTGGACTTTGGATTCGGTTATATGCCCTAGTCAGATTACTAATGCTGTCAGTAATACGGAATATTCTCATATTACTCAAAATCCGGATAGTAGGATTTGTATTCAATTTGATGAAAATAGTTCCACTTATAATAGGCAGCCATTTTCTAATAATAGACTTTTGCCTGTTATTAGTCCTAGTTATAATAGGCATTCATTTACTAATCATAGACTTTTGCCTGTTATTAGTCCTAGTTATAATAGGCATTCATTTACTAATCATAGACTGCTGCCTGATATTCAACATATTTCACCTGTTGAACCAATCTATAGACCAACTAGAAATCGTGCTGCATCTTTACATACAATTTCTATCAAAATAGGTGATAAGCCAGTTGAAAGGGTTAAGATTAACCCCCAAATAAATATTGTTCAGGATAGTGATAATATTTCTGATAAGGATATTCCTCCTGCATCCGAAATGGATTTCAACCCCAATGATGTTTAATGATCCCACACCAAATAGATTTTAGTCCAGGGTCACAAGCAAGAAAGTATATTCAAAAAGAATTTTTTTATAATAAATGGAACCGGTTTAAAACTTGGTTTTTTGATACTTATAGTAAAGAGGATTTAAATAATATTTCTCAAGAGTTTTATGAAACTTGTGCTTTACATAATTAAATTATGTATTTTGTTCCTTGGTTTATAACCACTTATTTACCGCTTTATATAAAAGTTTTAGAAAGATCTTATAAATATGGAAGTGGCAATATTACTAAAGCCATATACCCTTCTCAAGCACCTTTTGTTTTACCAAATAATACAGGTATTACATTTACTGCATTTCAAAAATTTATTGATGAAGATGTTGCTGCAGTCAGAATCGCAGAAATTAATAATTTGATTTCTCAAAATAATTATTTGAGTTTATATGTTAAAGTTTTGGGTGAACAAATCAGTTTTCTTAATAAAAAACTTGATGAATTAACTGTTTTTATAAAAGATATGAGTACTAGCAAGAAGACAACTGATATTGCCTCTACGTCTGGAAGCAAATCAGAACCTCAAATTGTTCGTACTCATGTTCAAAGACACCCTGAGATTCAGGATTTTAAATTTAAATCTTTAAATGATTTAGAAGAACTTCTTGATAGAAAGTTATCTGGTTTAAATATCAAACCTATTGATTTATCAAAAGATTTTGCTGATAAATTAGATACCACTTTTGATTATAAAAATGAAGTTTGGTCAGAGTTTAATAAACTCAGAGGTTATCCCAAAAAGAATAGTAAGTATGCTGATAAACCCAGAATGCAAACTTATTATTATAATCGTCCTACTCCTCAAGATGTTTTAATAGAGGAACGTGATTGGAATCAGACTAATACGTCTTATAGTGGTTCCAAAATTCATGAATGGAATCTTGATAGTTTGACTGATAGACAATTAACTATTCTTGTGCATAGAATGCTTATGTATGCAACTATCTGTAAAAGTGTGAAAAATATAGATAGAACTATTTGCAAAATGATTGTTGCAGGTTTTACTGGCCAGCTTCGTGGCTGGTGGGATAATTATTTAACTGCTGATGAAAAGGAAATGGTTATTAATGCAATAGCCACTGACGAAAGAGTTGATAATTTAGGCATGGCTCTAGTGAAAAATAGAGAAGATGTTGTTTACACCCTTGTTCTTACCATATTAGAACATTTCAATGGTAGATTTACCAATCAGAACGAGATTGTCCGTACTCTGCTAAATGGCCTTAGATGTAGGACCTTAAGCGAGTTTAGATGGTATAAAGATAATTTTATGAGTAGAGTAATGGAATTACCCGAAAATAAGTATGAACATTGGAAAGCTAAATTTATAGATGGCCTTCCCTCCTTATTTGCTGAAAGAGTTAGAAAAAATCTAAGGGGTAGCTATGGTGAAATTTTATACAAAGATTATATCTATGGAAAATTGATAGGAATATGCACACAAGAAGGATTAAACTTATGCAATGAGTTAAAATTCTCCAGACAGCTTAAGATGGATAAGCTTAAGGAGAAAAATCAGTTAGGAGACTTTTGCACCCAGTTCAGTTTACCTGAGACTTCTATTCATAAGAAGAAGAAACACAAGTATCATAGATACCCTAACCCAGACAGTCCTTATAAGAAAAAGAGATCAAGATATAGGTCCAAAGAAGAGCGTGATGCTAACAAAGCCCATCGCAAGTCTACCAGATTTACGAAAAATAGGTCCAAGCGAGATCTTGCTGATATTAAGTGTTATAAATGTGAAAATTTTGGCCATATAGCTTCAAATTGTAAGCTTCAAAAGCTAAAAACCTTAGAACTAGATGAAGAGTTACGTGATAAGGTTTATGGTTTATTATACACCTCTGGATCAGAATCTGATTATTATTATTCTGAGTCAGAATCTGAAATTGAAGTAGATTTACTTGATTTATCTGATAGTGATAAAAATATTGATAATACTTGTACAGCTTGCAGAGGTAATACATGTACCTGTGATGATGATGAATTTTATAAATTGCAATCTCAGTTCCAAGATTTGAACATGAAAACTATTACATCTGATAATGTAATAGAACTTTTAAAAGAAGTTACTGATGATAAACTTCGTGAAAAAATTATAAATTTGGCTACAAGTACTAGTTCAAGTTCTTCAAAACCTTTTGAAAACTCAAAAAAGAAATTTGAATATTCTGCTCCTTATTCTTTATTAGAGGTTAATAACCATCTTTTAAATAAAAGTACAACTCCAGCAAGAAATTCTTCTTTCGATGATTTAAAAGTTGAAGTTAAAAACTTGAAAAGAGAGATCAAATCTCTTAAACAAAATCAAATGATTTGTGATCATAGGATTACTCAGATTGAGAAAATCAATTCTCCAGCTGAGAAATCTGACGATAAAAACAAAGGTATTTCTGAAAATGATATTGAAGAAAAATCTATTAAAATTGATTCTCAACATGATATATTTTTGGGAATGATGCAAATTGTTACTGCTCATAGATGGTATATTAAATGTACTATTCTAATTGATAATAGTTTTTCTATCACAAATATTGCTATGATTGATAGTGGAGCTGATGTTAGCTGCATTCATGAAGGTTTAGTACCTACTAAATATTTTCAAAAAACTACTCATATGGTAAAGTCTTCTTCAGGACATGCTTTAGACATAGAGTTAAATTACCTAATACTGGTATTTGTCAGAATAAAGTCTGCATTCCTCACTTCTTTTTCTTGGTTAAAAATCAGTTATACCCTCCAATTATACTTGGAACACCTTTTATTAATGTTATTTATCCTTTAACTAGCATAAACTCAAAAGGTTTTACAGCTAATTATAAGGATAAAAAGATTAGTTATACTTTTGTTACAGATCCAGTAACTAGAGATATAAATTATTTAATTGATATGAAGCAAAGACATATTGATTCATTACAATTAAAATTATTCAGTATGAATATATTTGATACTTTGAATTCTATAAAAGTGCAGGAAAAGATTAAATTAATTTTCGAAAATATTGCTATTGATATTTGTGCTGAGCATCCCAGTGCTTTTTGGAATAGAAAAAAGTATATTGTCTCTCTTCCATATGAAAATAATTTCTCTGAAGATGATATTTCTACAAAATCTCGACCTTGTCAGATGAACGCCGAATTATTAGAATTCTGCAAAAAAGAGATTGATAACTTGTTACAAAAGAGTTTGATAAAACCCTCAAAATCCCCTTGGTCTTGCACAGCTTTTTATGTTAATAATGCTGCTGAAAAAGAACGTGGTATTCCTAGATTGGTTATTAATTATAAACCGTTAAATAAGTTTTTAAAATGGATAAGATATCCAATTCCCAATAAAAAGGATTTATTGTCAAGATTATATGATGCCAATATATTTTTTAAGTTTGATTTAAAATCTGGTTATTGGTAAATTCAAATATTTAAAGAGCATACTTATAGAACTGCTTTTAATGTTCCATTTGGGCAATATGAATGGAATGTTATGCCTTTTGGTTTAAAGAATGCCTCTTCTGAATTTCAAAAAATCATGAATGATATATTTAATCCATATCTGAATTTTATCATTATTTATATTGATGACATTTTGATATTCTCCAAAACATTTGAAATGCATATTAAGCATTTAGATATTTTTAAAAGAATTGTTATACAAAATGGTTTGGTTATTTCAAAATAAAAAATGAGTTTATTCCAAACTAATATTCGATTTTTAGGACATTATATCTGTTAAGGAAAAATAACTCCGATTCAAAGATCTATTGATTTTGCTTCAAATTTTCCCGATATTATTACTGATAGAACTCAGTTACAAAGATTTTTAGGAAGTTTAAATTATATATCACCTTTTTATAAATATTTGTCTCGTGATTTAGCTCCCTTATATGATAGGCTAAAAAAGGATTATAAAAACCCTTGGACTAATAGTCATACTATTTTAGTTAAAAATATTGAACAACGTGTTAAATCTTTACCTTGTTTAACCCTTGCTAATCCTACATGACAAAAGATTGTCGAGACAGATGCGTCTAACATTGGTTACGGAGGGATTTTGAAACAGATAAATTCAAATAATAATCATGAATACTTGATTAGATTTTACTCTGGAAAATGGTCTGAAATCCAGAACAAAAATACGCTACTGTGGCTCATGAAATGTTAACCATAGTTAAATGTGTTTTAAAATTCCAAGATGATTTATACAATCAAAAGTTTTTGATAAAAACTGACGCACAATCTGTTAAATATATGTTTAACAAAGATTTTAAACATGATGCCTCAAAAATGATATTTGCAAGATGGCAGGCTCAATTCGCCCCCTTTGATTTCAAAATTCAATACAAAAAGGGAATTGATAACTCTCTGCCAGATTTCTTATCTCGTGAATATTTGCAGGATGGAACCCCCATGGGGCAGAGGTAGAGGTAGAGGAAGGGGAAGATCATCCCCACATTCCCAAGGAAGGACATCGCCTTCAGGATCGTCATACGGATCCACATCAAACTCCCCAGTTATACAAATGGGAAGAAGAAGCTTGACTAATGAGAAGATATCTCTTAGAGGCGAATCCTCAATGATAGGACCACCCATTCACCTGGAAGATATTCCAAAAGACAGTCTGTTATACGCACATTTACAGGCATATTTGACTGCTCAAAAGCGAAGTGATACTTTTGCTTCAATTACAAAAGAGGACAATGATGATATCAAGTCCTATGAAAAATTGCCTAAAAAAGAAATGATATTTTTTTTGGAGAATTCTGAGATACAAAGAAAAGATGAACCCTGGAAGATATTCCAGAGATACTTGATAAATGGATTATATTATCCGGTTGAGTCATACAAAACCCGTTCTTATTATGAAACTATTCTCACAAGTACAGGCAGTGCAGAATTTCAGCACTTTTCTGATTATAGCACAGACGAAAATGTTTATAACTTCTCAAAAATCATCATCAAACAGATTATATCCGTTGAAGACTGGAAAATATCCATAATGAAAGAAAGGCAGATAAGCCTTAACAAGTCCCGTATAAATTTTACCTATTGGGATTATATCCAGGCCTTTGATAAAGTGCTCTATTACAATAATGATAAACATAAGCACACTTGGTTCATAAAAGTGTGTGCAAAGATATTTGCAAAATCTATTCCTAATTGGTTTTTAAACTGATGGTCATACCACGGTCCGACAATAAAGATATTACCCGAGCCATTTCTTATGTTATACAAAGAATGGACGAAAGTTTCACCAGTTCTAAATGAGTTATACCACACAGATCATATCTGTTACTTAGAAAAGATTGATAGATATATTTCTTCCTAGAATTCTCTATTTCTTGAATTCATAAATGGACTCCGGAAATAGGATTCACCGAGGAACAAATTTCTTTTTTATACAAAACCTTTTATAATAATTTCTGGGATAAACTGATGAAAAAGGATCCTAAAATAAAGACGTTATACGGTCAAGAACTCTTGAATTCCATTAAAATAAAAATCCAAAAATATTCCAGCAACCCTCAGAAATAAAAAATTGACGATAGCTCAGTGCAGCACATTGCCAGAAAGATCTCCTTTCAAGAAGGGAATAAAGAAGAAATAATTAATGACTATTTGGAAGAAGTAAAAAAAAAAATTTGCTTCGTTCTATCAATCAATATGAGAAATCAGACACTTCAATGCAAAGTGAGACCAGCAACGATGATATCGCAGATGACTCTCAACCTATTGAATCAGAGAAGATATTATCTGATGAAGCCTTACAAGATGCGGAAGAATTCCTCCGCAAAATGAAAGAATTAGAAAAACGACCAGCACAGTGAAGCCGCCGGACCCCAGTCGCTAGTAGAAACACTGTTCATCAACAGTAGAAACACTATTTTATACAGTAGAAACACTATACAAGGGACCCAGTGGGACCCTTTTTACTGTTTAAAGATTCTTTTCCTTTTTCTATTTATAGGTTCATTCGTTCAGAGAGAAGAGGAAGCCGAAAAACTCTCTCTCTTAAATCTCTCTCTCTCTCTCTCTCTCTCTCTCTCTCTCTCTCTCTCTCTCTCTTTCTCTCTATTGTAAGTTTGTAAGTACTACTTTGTAATCGAAGATCAAGTAAATAAAATCTCAAGTTCTTCGTACTCAGGCTTTGCATCCCGGCCTCATAAGGTATTTATTCTTACTTATAGTATTTCTTCTAGTCTCTCCTCTCTGGTCGTGACAATGTCCGGCTAAGAGACTTCATATCTATGTTGAATATCTAACTTCTCTCCTATATAAACCATGAAAGATCTGGCCTCTATCAAAATATAAATAAATTTTATATATAGTTTCTTGACTTGGTTTCGAGATGGTGGTACAGTCTAATATAGCATTACTTTTATTGGCTTTGCCTTAGTGGCTCCGTCTAGCCAGTCGTGAACCTTAGCCCGTTAAATGGAGTTGAAAAGGGCATCTTCTTTCACGGTTAGAATTGCTAGATACATGGGCTCAATGAGAGTATGTATTATATTAAGACAGACCCCTTGCTTGAGTAAAAGGTTGAACCTTCCATATAGTCATCAAAATATATAAAAAATTCTTATATATTTCGACTCTTATCTTTACTGGCCGTGCGGATTACCGCCAGTCTTTAAACGTAAGGATACTGAATTAGCTACTTAGAAAGTCTATAAGAGATCTTTAACTGGTGGAAACCTCAGTGGACATATAAAAGTCAGCTGAGGTGCGAAATAATTCCAGTTCCTGTTAATCCGGTGATCTCTCGGACTGACTAAATTAGTTAATTTCAAATAGCTAGATTGAGATGGCCATGCGGACTACCGTCTGCCTACACTAATAATAATAATAATAATAATAATAATAATAATAATAATAATAATAATAATAATAATAATAATAATAATAATAATAATAATAATAATAATAATATAATTTTTCATACTAGTTTCTCCTAAATCCATATTTCAGAAACATATCTATGTCGAATATTTCATATCTATCTCATATATACCATGAAAGTACCTAGGCTCTGATACCATTATAACAGGATCAAGTGGCGGGCGGTAATCCGCACAGCCTTCTCAACTAAGCTAAAACAGAAATCACTGTTTGACCGGGAACTGGAATTGTTTCGCACCTCTGCTGACTTTTATATGTCCACCGAGGTTTCCACCAGTTAAAGATTTCTATTTTAACATATTTGAGAATTCTTAATCTAGCTAATTTAGTACCCTTATATTTAAAGACTGGCAGTAATCCGCACAATCAGTAAGGATATAAGAATTGAAATATACTTGAATTTTATATGTAGTTTAATGACTGTATGGAAGGTTATAACCTTTACTCAAGCAAGGGGTCTGTCGTAATATAATACATACTTTTATTGAGTCCATGTATCTAGCAGTTCTAACCATGAAAGAAGATGCCCTTTTTAACTCCATAATCGGGCTGAGGTTCACGGCTGGCTAGACGAAGCCACTAAGGCAAAGCCAATAAGAGCAGTATTATATTAGACTGTACCAACCATCTTGACACCAAGTCAAAACTCTATATATAAAGTTCATTTATATTTAAATAGATGCCGTCTCTTTCATGGTTTATATAGGAGAGAAGTTAGATACTCAACATAGATATGAAGTCTCTTAGCCGGACATCGTCACGGCCAGAGAGGAGAGACTAGAAGAAAAACTAACTAAGAAAGAAATTAGTACCTTTTGGCCGGGATGCAAGGCCTGAAGATGAAGAACTGAAAACTTTATTTACTTGTTCTTCTTGTTACAATCAACAAACTACAAACTCTTAATTACACTTTGAAGAGAGAGAGAGAGAATTCTAGAGAGAGAGGGTCTCCGTTCGCTTCTTCTTCTTCTGAACGAATGAAACGTATAAATAAAAAAGAAAAGAATCTATGAACAGTAAAAAGTGGGTCCCGTGGGTCCCTGTTACAGTATTTTTACTATACAAAATAGTATTTCTACTGTTGATGAACAGTGTATCTACTGTTGATGAACAGTGTATCTACTGTTTGAGTGGGGTCCGGCGGCTTCATTGTGCTGTGGGTCCGGCGACTTCACTATTGTTTGTGGGGTCCAGTTGTTTCACTGTGCTGGTCTTTTGTCTGATTCTTTCATTTTGCGGAGGAATTCTTCCGCATTCTGCAAATCTTCATCAGATAGTATTTTCTCTGATTCAAAGGGTTGAGAATCTTCAGCGATATCATCGTTGCTGGTTTCACTTTGCATAGAAGTGTCTGATTTTTCATATTGATTAATAGAATGAAGTAAATTTCTTCTGACTTCTTCCAAGTAGTTGCTAATCATTTCTTCTTTATCTCCTTCCTGAAAGGAGATCTTTCTGGCAATATGCCGTACTGAGCTATCATCAATCACCTCTTTCTGAGGTTTGCTGGAATATTCTTGGATTTTCGTTTTGATGGAATCCAAGAGCTCTTGACCATATAATGTCTTTGTTTTGGGATCCTTTTTCATTAGTTTATCCCAAAAGTTGTTGTAAAAGGTCCTGTATAAGCACGGGACTTGTTCTTCGGTGAATCCGACTTCTGGAGTCTATTTATGAATCCAGGAAATAGAGAATTCCAGAAAGAAAGAAATTTGGTCAATTTTTTCTGGGTAACAGATATGATCTGTGTGATATAAATTGTTTATAAAAGGGGAAATTTTTATCCATTCTTTATATAACATGAGAAATGGATCAGGTAAAATTTTTACTGTCGGACCGTGGTATGACCACCAGTTTAGAAACTAATTAGGAATAGCCTCTGCAAATATCTTTGCACATACTTTAATAAACCAAGTATGCTTGTGTCGATCATTATTGTAGTATAACACTTTATCAAATGCCTGGATATAATCCCAATAGGTGAAATTCATTCGAGATTTGTTAAGGCTTAT